TTTATCTTTATCTTTATCTTTATCTTTATCTTTATCTTTATCTTTATTTTTATTTTTATCTTTATCTTTATCTTTATATTTATCTTTATCTTTATCTTTATCTCTATATCTATCTTTATCTTTATCTTTATCTCTATCTCTATCTCTATCTCTATATATATCTTTGTCTCTTTATCTTTATCTTTAACTTTATCTTTATCTTTATTTTTATCTTTATTTTTAATACATAAATAAATAAATGAAATATATTATGAAGCATACATACATAAGTAAAGTAACAATAAACCTCACGGTTAGACTTACCAAATGTGCGGGTCTAGGAGCCTGCGGCCATGGGGCAAAATAAGCGCTGCGGGTTTGCCATTAATTTCTTTGAGATTCTGCGATTTACTGTAAATATGAGTTGTATTATCGATTCGCAACTGCATTTCAAAGAAAAATATGTGATTTATAATGTTATGCTTTAAATTCAAATGTAAACAAACTGTTTAAGGGCCGTTTTCTCAAGTAACCTGTAACTTTAAAGCTCACTTTGTATTTAAAGGTTGCATTAAGATTTATTTATTTTTTTGTTCTATTTTTTGTCGGCCGCTGTGGTGTAGTGGTAACAGCGGTCGTCCCTCGGCAGACAATGGCAAACCTCCGAGTGTATTTCTGCCATGAAAAACAGCTCAAAAAAATATAATCGCCGTTCGGAGTCGGCGTAAAACTGTAGGTCCTTCCGCTTTTTGTGACAACATCAAGGCGCACGCCACAAGTCGGAAGAGAAGCTCGGCCAAATACTAACATAGGTGTAAGCGCTAATCTATTATTATTATTAGTATTATTAAAATTTATGATTGTGTCTAAAGTAAAGCATTTTATTATCGGTTTTAAATTGGTTTACAACCAAGAAACATACATATGTACGTCAAAACACTATTACAGAAATGCTTAACTTTAGACATAGCTTTATTTTTAATCCTACCTTTAAATATACAGTGAACGTTAAAGTTAAATGTTACTTCAGAAAACGGCCCTAAGAGGATGATTTGATGAAACTTAATTAGTGAAATGAAAATATGGATGAAAAATATAAATCTATTATATATTTTTTTTACTTTTATGACGCTGGGAACTATTCCCAATTAGAAAGAAAATTGCGCTCCAAAACTTAACCGTCAGAAAATTTCAAAATGACTTCTATTGCAAGCTTTTACTAGCTTTGCGTTCAATAACTTTTTCTGAAAATTTTCTCTTGCTCTCAATTTTACTCTCCCGCATTTTCCGGCAAAAGCGTGTTGTGTAACTTCAGTTTTATTTAACCGCGGTTATAATGAAATGGTTGAAATATTTCAGATTTGCGCTTTTACGATAAAAAAAATTTAATGACGTTTACGTTCTTTGGTACATACAAAGAACGTAAAACATACAGTTTTTTACACCTTCCATCACTGTCACTTCGAATTCATTTCATCTGGCAATGCTAACAAATATTGTCAATCAAATACAACTCTGTATGTAAAATTGGCATCCCTTTTTTTATATTTCAGTTCCAGTTTTTCAGCCCAGCAAGTATGGTGTTTAGTTAAATTCGTACAGTGAAAAGTTGTGAAATATTGTTGTGAAAGCAAGAAATTGAATTCAAATGAATTGTGCTACTTGTGCTTTACCCGATAATACGAATAAAGGTGCTCGTTAAAACAATAAAGAAGTCAGAAAAATGTACCAATTTGTTTTGTGTAAACATAAAATAAGCTAAATTAATATATACAGATATACAGTTTTTGGAGAGACGGGGTCGAAGTGCGGTTCATGCAGGTAAATACCGAGAAATCGTAAAAACTCATTTAGAAGAGCGAAGTCGCAAAGCTATATAGTGATTTCTAGGAATTTGATGCATATCGAGATTTCAATTGTATTATTAAGCACCGAAATTCGCGAAAGTTAATGCATATCTTTAAACAAAAATGTGTATACCAAATATTGAATATCAGTTAAATGCGGTAAATTCCAGGAAATTCAACCAAAAGGCAGAAAAACGGCCAAAAAGAGGCACAAATTATTAAAGCATTGAGATACCAATTTCCGAGAAGCGCATTTCTAATTTAGACCAAATTCTCAGAAGTGACAGACAAGCCAACAACGGCAGAAACAGCCAGAGGCAACTACAAATTATATACATGGTTGTGTTGGGAAGGCATGGCATCATGGCAAAAGCGAACGAAGCACAAACAACAATACAGTATTAGTACGAAAAGTAAATACAAAAGTGTGAATGATAGGAGCAAAAAATATGCGGGGTGCCGTGTTGCGATCGCAAAGAGCAGAGCGCCACATTGCATACAAAAACATAAAGACATATATATATATATGCGTGTGTGTGTATGAGAAATCGTATAGAAACCCGCACGAAAGAGCGAGACAAAGCGAGGCAGCTGAAAAGAGTGAATTGTTTCACTGTTGCCAACTCTTGGAAAAGGTGTGCGAGTGTGGTGGCTTTGTGTGTTGTATTGTGTGAGTAGCAGCGTGTGGCAGAGCAACAAAAAAAAAATACATGTTTTATTTCAATTCGTGGGAAATTTTTAATTGTTCACGTGAATTGATTATAATGGAGACCAAATGAAATTGTGAATGTCAACGTGAAAAGTAAAGACACAAAAGTATTTATCAAGAATTTTGAATTTGTCCTGACTTAGCTAAGCGAAAAATGAGTTATTTTCGTTGTTTCTACGAATAGCAATGGGCTTTCATTCATAATGCGTGTACATATATGTATATGTATGTACATATGGAATGTACATGCATAAATATATATATGTACATAAAACCCACATATGTATTTGGATGACTAGTTTAGAAAATGATGATAAAGGGTTAATGATTTTATGAAGCCTGTTCCAGGTACCTCAGGATTTTAAGGAAGTGCGTCACGGTACATAGGGTTTATTACTGGCGATAACAGCTTTTCCTTGAAAACTGCAAATCCGGTAGTACCTGGAACAAGCTTAATGCATATGTTGTGACTTCATAAAATCATTAATGATGACAAATGACATTATTTTCTAAACTAGTCGTAAAAAAAAAAATAAAATAAAAACGAAATTTTACCCAATTATTAGGTATGCCCAAAATAACAGTAACTTTGAAGATAAAAATTTAAAACAGATCTGATTGAAATAACGGGCTCAATAAAAAAAAACTTTAAAATTTAATTCTGTTGAAATTAATTAATTAGACTGGATTCTATTAATGATACGTTTTGTAAAAGCACTCTCGCAATAATTGATTGCAATGTTGCTCCAATTGTGAATGCAATACCATTGAAGATAGTAATCGTATATGTACATATTATTCAATTGTTCAATCGCTGATTTGTTTTTTTTTTTTTTAATTTGGTTTCGAAAATGTCAAAAATTTTTTGATTTCTTCTCGCAAAAATTCTAAATTGTTAAAATCGATTTGCATGTGAATCCGTTTTCCATACAAAACAAGCTATTGAATAGAAGCTTTTCAAACGTTGGCCCAACTCAGCAGCACAACCGCTAATTGTGTATTGGGTTTTGCAAAGGATGGGTCAATGATTCGAGAAGCAAAAAAATTTGCGAAGATATAAAGTTGCAACAATTCTTATTTTTTCTAGGCGAAATGGCCTAGTAGCCGAGCCTCCGAACTATATTTTATAAATTAATTTATAACTATAAATTAAAATAAATAAATAAATAAATTGTTTATTTTTTTTTTTGTATTTCACATAGCACGCTTTGATTTAGAAGAAAAAAATCAGAACAGTGTTTGACACTCGATACCAGAAGCAACAACAAAATACACGCAAATGTTGTGTTTCCTCCTATGCTACTACCTGTGCA